ACATAGTACATCTGAAGTGCACGCTTTTGAAGGTAGATGTTTTGAGCAACTTGTCAAGCTAGCCTGTGGTCGTGGAGATTTGCAACAACAACCACGTAAAAACGGGTCCTTTTTTAGGAAAAGACAAGCAAACGATGTAGATGAAGATGATCTCGAGATTTATGCATACCCTGCTCGTGTCACACTCACCTACTTATTTAGTAGAGTACGTGTAACACAAACAATGGTGGACCGCCTTGTAAGGATCCGTGAGCATGATGATTACTTTTTCAAGCCCCGCAAGATTCCTCTTCGCTGTTTTATTATCTTATGGCTCAAGCTTATCATTGCCCAATTCCCTGAAGATGGTTCACATGATGGAGACCAAGATTCCCATGTCCAATATCCAATGCACAGTAACGACATTTTAGCTTTAGATCTAACCAAAAAACTGGTGGAAACAAGCTACCGAGAAGCTGAAATGATTGTGGCCCTCGAACATAATACAACTGCCCGTAATCTATACTACCAGGTGTTTCCAGAACTTAATACGCGCTCGTCGCGCTACCCGTTTCTCAATACTTTTACCTTAAGCCAACTTCTAGCCATTCTTGACACAGCACCGCAAGGACTTCTTGCTGACGTGACCCAGATTGTGTTGCAGTCGCTGCGCCGTGCTGCGGTGAATCCGCAGACACCGTTTCGGTTTGATTTGGAGGAGGTGGTCGACGGTGAGACTCAGGCTAGTAGGCTCAGACGACATTTTGAGCAGCCAGCCCATTGCCATAAACATTGCAAAGACTGTAGAAAGTACCGGCGTAGGTATAACTACGTAGTCCAGCAGTACCACCGACAGGCAGAACCTGTGGCAGATGAAAGTGTGCATCGTCGGTGTAGGAAAACTGGGCGGTGGTTGTGCTGGAAAAACAGCAATCATGGTAGAGGTGATGACGATGATGATTATGATAATGATGATTATAATGGTGACGGTGAAGTACGGAAACGATCACAGAGAGAGTCGATGACTACATTTGATTCTGAGGAGACTACAGTTGTATGCGAAGCAGGGAAAGCCTTAGCAGCAGCTGCTTCTGCAGCAGCTGCTGCTGAAAATCGGAATGGAAATGAACCTGGTGAAGATCCTTCATCCGGTGAAGCTTCTTCAGTTTTGACACCAATGGAATCACCAGAATGTACGTGTCCCGTGCGGCGAGGATTTGGAAATGGTAGCGGCACGTTTCGGCGGTCGGGAGGAAGTTTTTGTGGGTCTTGTGAAGTTGATTTGCGAGATTCAGGGACTTGGCAAGAGTATGCGACACTGGATTACGAGAAGCTAATTTTGAATACGGTGGTACTCCCTGATTGTGAGAGCATGTATGGAGGAGAGGGAGGAATAAGGAAAAGAAGAGGAAGAAGAAGAGAGTGTGAAAATGAGGGGAGAGAAAAAGAAAAAGAAAAAGAAAAAGAAAAAGATGAAAGGGAAGAGGAAGAGGAAGAGGAATATTATGGGGAGATGAGGCGAGGACGAAGAATGTCACAAAGGAAAAGGAAAACAACCATGAGACGGAAGAAACGAGAAGGGTCGTTTTTGAAAAGAGAAATTGATGTTTTGGGACAAGATGAGCATTTAATGTTACCATGTGGGTCGTTTCAAAATGGGTTTGATATGTTTTGTGGAGAGACTGAAGATTGTGGTAATAAACTTGACAAGTGGATTAATGAAGATAACGAAGAAATGCATCTTGATAACAAAGAAGCAGCAGCAGCAGTAGAGACAGTTGATAAATATCCCGGAGAAACTACAAGTGGGAGTCCTATTGAAATCCAGGGACTTGCGCTTGGTCAACTTCGAGTGACAAATCGGAGTCCCGGGAAAAGCCCCGAAAAGAGTACGACCACAACTACGAGAAATGAGTATGAAGATCCAATAGACTTGGGGCTACAAAAACAAGCTGAGGGAAATGGTGATAACAACTGCGTGAATAACCCTTTGCTGCCTCTTGCTACTAACCGGCCTCCACCGCTTCCTCCACGACGACCAAAATTGAGTGTCCAAACACACGGCCTTGCCGACCCGAAAACAATGCTGCTGCTCAATGAGGCTGCACAACTCGATTGTAGGTCATCCTTGCAGAACCCCCAATCTTTTGATACGCCTGTGACAGCCCCACGCGTCAGTAGCATGTATCTTGGTCAGAGACCATTGCCGCCAATGTCAGATGCCAAGCGCCGGCCATGGTCGGAGGGAAGTAGTTCAGAATCGTCAAGTGCAGGCAATGTTTTGAGGAGGTTGGTGAGACGGGCGCGGCAGAAAATGAGAGTACGGAGAGATGGGCGTTGGGCGAGTAGTAGGACATATGAGCTTAAGAGGAAACTATCTGCGCGTGGAGCGCGGGAGCGATCACAAAGGGGGAGAGAAGGAGCAGGGCGCAATTACAAACACAAGCGCCAGCATAATAGACAGTACCAAGGCCCAGTGAGGGAATGGTCAGCGTGGCAGAACCGAGCAAGGTGGGTGGATGCACGGCAAGTTGCAGAGTCTGTGGGCCCAGCGGCTACGGCGTCAATGAGAATGCCAGGAGGACGAGAAGCTTTACGGTGTGGAGGGTCAATGCGTGGGGGCGACTTGATGGCGATGGTTGAGTGTGCGATGGAACCTGCGGTGGTGAGTGGGTACCCTATGCAGCAATTGAGGGCATACCGAGGGGTTTTGCTTGAGGGAGAAAGGGATGAGGGGAAGAAGATGAGGAGGTATAAGAGAGGGAAAGAACTAGAAGAAGATGATTGTGATGATGGTTATGATTATGGTAGTGGTGAAAAAGAAGAAAAAGAAGAAGAAGAAGATTATAATGAACGCAGGCCTGTGCGGAGCACGTTACAACGGCGATATGGAGTTACAGGACCCGGGGAATTTGTGCGGAAAGGAAAGAGTAAATGCGGGAATTTGAGGGAAGTAGAAGATGATTGAATTTAGATATGAATAGAATTTGAGGTGACTTGAAGTGAAGTTAATTGATGAAGAAGGGTTTATGGAAGATGATTATGGAAGATGATGATGAAAGTTGAAGATTTGATGATTTAGTTGATGAGCTTAATTGCGGCTGGATATTACAGTTTAAGAAGAAAAATAAATATTATAAAATATGAAAGAATTTCTATACAGATAAAAAAAAAATTAAATAACTTAAATAAATATTCTTCAAATATCTCTTTTTTAAAATATATATATATATTATATATATTTTGAGAATTTACAGATTTTTTTTTTATGAAAATGAAAATTAAAATGAAATAAAACATCAACTTGAGGGGTTTTCTATTAAAAAAAAAACGTTTTTTTTTTTTTTTTTTTTTTATATCCTTGCGATGTTTTTTTTTTTTTTTTGTGAGTGAGTGAGTGGCCGCCGTTAAATTATTAACCGCACGCAATAACATCAACAACAATAAAAAAAAAAAAATCAACCATCCAAACCGCTCAAATAAAAATTAAAAAATTAAAAAAAAATTAAATAAAAAATAAAAAGAGTTGGACATTCCACGTTTCTCTTAAAAAAAAAAAAATAAATAAATAAATAAAAATAAATGGAAAGCTTGAAACCCAAGTTGAGGGGAATTAAAAAGTAATAAGAATAATGCCACGCGTGATTAATAAATTGATTCAATAAGAAACAATAAATAACATTATTATTATTATTATTATTTTTTTTCTATCTATATTTATTTTTTTTTTTTTAAAAAAAAAAGAATTTTTGTCTGGTCTAATATATCAAAGTTGTTAATTTTTTTTTTTTTTTCCAAAGAGTAATAGTTAGAAAGGTAGTATCTATATATATATAATCAAATGAGAGTGACAAAAAAGAAAGAAAGAAACCTCTAATTGCTTAGTTCTTTTTTGTATATATAATAATAATGATAATAATAGTAAAAAATAGTAATAATAGTAATAATAGTAATGATAGTAAAAACAGGTTTTGGATGAAGAAGAAATAAAATACTTTGGAAAGAAAGACACATATCAATTCATTATAATGAAATTACCTTCAAATCGAGGAGGGGGGGGAGGGAAGGTCTTTTGTTTTTTTTTTTTTTTTTCTTTTCTTTCTTCTTTACTCAAAGCCCAGAAATTGCCTGTCACGAGTGCCCAGAAACTTGCGCACCTAGCTTCGTCGGAGGTGATCCTACTATTGCCTGTTGTCCGCCAGAAACACCAACCGCTGCTGCTTGTGCGTTCTGAATCGCCGGGTCCATCAAGGCCAGCGAAGCAGCACCAGGCAGATCAAATGGTGCATGGCTTGAATGGCTTGAATGACTTGAATGGCTTGAATGACTTGAATGACTTGAATGACTTGCATGGTTTGTTTCTGAGGTTGTTGCAGTAGGATTGTTATTGTTATTGTTATTGCTATTGTTGGTATCGGTATTGGTATTGGTGTCGGCATTGCTGTCAGAATTGTTGTCAGTATTGTTGTTGGTGCTTGTGCTTGTGCTTGTGCTTGTACCTGTGCTAGTATTGGTGCTGGGATTGTTGCTACTATTGGGACTAGTGTCTAGGCCAGAGAGTCCGGTTGGACCTGTGACATTTGTAGATGGCGAAGACGACGAAGGCCCTAAAGATACAGGACCTACCAAGGATGATGCTGACGACATTGTAGCCTCTGGGGAGCCTTGAGCCTGACTAGTTGAGGTACTTGTATAAGTCGCCTGGTTAGATGACTGTTGTTGAGCTACCCCTCCCAAAGAATCAAGTGCTCCTACTGGTACATTAACTCCAGCCATGGTTGTCATCATGGACGATGCTGCTACATGGACTTGGGCCTGACCTGCGTGAACTGCATGAACTGAGTGAGCCGCTGCAAGTTCTGCTGCTGCTGCTGCCGCTGCTGCTGCTTCTGCTGCCTCCTGTTCCTCGTATTGTCTGCGCGATTCCTGAGGAGAAATATACTCTCCAGGCTTCATGTTGAGCAGTTCCTTCATACGTTTTTCGCATGCCTTTGCAGGACGACCCAACTTTTCACCAATGC